TCCGATCGAAAAGGTCGCGAGTTCGAGCCTCGAGTGGTGCACCACTTAACTTGGATATGGTCGGCTGGCTGCGGGCGGCTACGTAACCGGAAACGGCCATTCCAGTCTCCTTTGTCTTTGCCAGCAATAATATCTGCGTAAGACTGCTAGCCACTATGCCTGCTGTCGGGGCCCGAGAGATGAGGTCCAAGGTAAGAAAGAGCGAGGCAAGTGAATTCTGTTAGCGGTTGGTGAACGTCAATCACCTAGTGTCAACAAGTTATTTGATGTTTATGATCGTTTGGGCAATTAGTCCGCTTTCTATCTCCATATGATGGTCTTGACGTAGGTTACTGTGGTACGTTGGGGCACTTGGATTGGAGGTGGATGTTGGGGTTGCGCACAGGCCAGAAGCACCCATCAGGCGCCGGGTCATGATACTGAAAGACCCACTGCCACAGCAGGAAACAATTGAAGACGTTTACAGGATCTGTTGCAGTTGTGGACAATGCAACTACGTCAAATAGACCGGGAGATAACTCCGGACGTGAATGGCCGATCATGCGACGGCGGTAAGAAAGTAAGATGCTACCTTAAGGTTGTAGCTCACTCGACGGGACCCGGCCATATTTTCAAGTTTAACGAGGCCGAAATCCTTGCAAGATGTGACAACAGCGTGAGCCGCGAACTGCTTGAGTCATGGTTCTCAGGCCCCCAGTCCATTAATAATCGCAACGATTTGGCGTTTCCTTACTGCTTACTGATAAATCTCATGAGCAAGAGAATCGGTTACGTGGGAAGAGCCGGGCCCAGCAACAATTCGGGCGACAGCGAGCATAATTGTCGCGCAATTACCAAGCCCGCATCCAACACGGACATAAAAAATCGCGGAAATTAATGCGTCGAACGCGAAGTGTCAGGCCATCACCGCACTAATTAAGGCCCCAAGCGGTGACTACGGGAGACGGACGGAAAATTATAGTACGCACGCGGATGACCGCTACGAACTATAAGTACCGTGCAATCTGTGCATGTTTCACCCTCATCTGCGCATGGCTCCGATTATCCTACCATTACCTATGATTAAGGATTCTCGACAGAATCCGCAACATCAGGAAAAGTAAATTCTTGTTCCAGTGGTCGCATCTTCTTCTTCTGAACTGCTTCCTGGATCTCGTATATTCACTTCTATTAGCTACCTCATTGGTGAATTCGGATTTCGCGTGATTGAATTCCCCTAGTTTGCTACTGTTTTGGTGCTAACAACGACTAGAAGCGAACCACACTAAAGATGTATGTGCTGTTTAAAGGGCTTCTTTGGATCCGACAAAATTTAAACGTGCCCTTTAGTACAAATCGGCAAGCCTAGTTTGGATTAGAAGGCACAAATGAATTGTATAGCATCTTTTCCCTGGTGCCATTTTGAAGATTGCGTAAACAGCAGAATTTATTGGATCCATAAATTTCGCAAGTGCTCTTCAGCTGTAGCCTTTCACTGCATAGCATGAAAAATGGGCAACAGTAGCTTATGAAGCCCTACTCATTGATCCCTAAAACCTGCATGTTTTCCTACTAAAACGATGTTTATCGGGTTTTATGGGTGGGAAATTAGGATACGCAC